AAAAAAGAAAGAAATACCTGAGACTGGATAATTTATAAAGAAAAGAAATTTAGTTGGCTCACAGTTCTTCCAGCTGTACAGGAAGTGTAGAGGTTTCTGCATCTGTGGAGGCCTCAGGAAACTTACAATCATGGTGGAAGGCAAAGGGAAAGCAGCATGTCTTACATGGCCAGAGCAGGAGGAGAGAGGGTGGGTCAGGGATGCCAGTCATCTTTAAACCACCGGATTGTTGGATAACTCACTCACTCACTATCCTAAGAACAGCTCCAAGGGGATGGTGCTAAACCATTCATGAGAAACTGCCCCTGTGTCCCAATCACCTCCCACCAGGCCCCATCTCCAACACTGGGGATTACAATTGAACATGAGATTCGGGCAGGGACACAGATCCAAACCATATTAATAATAATATTTCAATAATAATTTGATAGATACCTTTCACCGAAATTAGGCCAAGGCTAGGCCAGGCTTTACTCATATTCTCCCTTTCCAGCCTCACAGTTGGGAAGAAAATGTCAGCATCACTATTTGCAGAGGAAGAAGCGATGGCTCGTGGTGACTTGGTGTGCTGCAGGTCACACAGAGCAGGATGTGGGCTGGGCCGATGAGTAGCTCTGTGATGACAGCTCAGACAGCCTCTAACACAAATTTGACCTCATTCTGCCTCTATAGCATCATAAGATGCTAAACCAGATGTGTAGAAATAGGGCACAGCTCTCCAGCTAGGACATTTCTATACAGGACCTGTAGTCTCTGTAACCCAAAGGGACCCCAGGTGACAGTCTACATGTAAAGGTTAGTGGGGCTTACATTTTGGCTCATCTCCAGAAGAAACTTTCTAAACTAGAATTGTTTGAAGTGGAATCACTCCCAGTAGTGATAGAAGCTTTACACCTGTCTTCCTCCAGCTGGACCCGCTCTCCACAGATCTCACTTCCAGGTCTCCATTCTCCCATTGTCCTGAGGTCCCCAGTTGTCTCAGAGCCTCTGTATCTTGGGGCCTGAGTATTCCATAAACATTGCTTGAACCCCTCTTACTTGTCAGGTACTGTACCAGGTTCCGACCTGCAGACGTGGATAAAAGAGAGTTATCCTCAGGATGGTCTACTGAGGCAGAGAGATTCATTAACATGATTTTATTATAGTCTGGTAAATCTTAAAATGTGCACTGGCTCCTATAGAAGCCCAGAGAAGGGCCCTGGGCCTAACAGGAGGATGTCTGGAAAAGATGCCTTTTGAGATGAATGTCTTTTGAAGGATGAGGAGATGTTAAGTCAGGCAAAGAAAGGCCATGGTGATAGGCCTGTGGGTGGTGGAGACCCCTTGTCACTCTAAGAACCAAAGAGTAGTGGCCAGATGCAGTGGCTCAAGCCTGTGATCCCAGCACTTTGGGAGGCCGAGGTAGGCAGACCACCTGAGGTCAGGAATTCGAGACCAGCCTGGTCAACATGGTGAAACCCTGTCTCTACTAAAAATATAAAAATTAGCCGGGCATGGTGGTGTGCGCCTGTAATCCCAGCTACCAGGGAGGCTGAGGCAGGAGAATCACTTGAACCTGAAAAGCAGAGGTTGTAGTGAGCCAAGATTGTGCCACTACACTCTAGCCTGGGCAACGAGAGTGAGACTCAAGTCTCAAAGAAAAAGAAAAAAGAACCCATGAGTATTCTTGAATCCCAGCATAGACTGCTTCCCTATTCCTCAGCTTTTCCCTTTCCCTTCTCCCCGGTGCTTTTCCCAATCTTTTCCCTGGGTATAGGAAGCTTTGGCGTTCTCCCATTATCTGTAATTCTTACCTGTCTCCAGAAAGTCATTTATCTCTTGGCCCCCTTTTAAGACTGAGTCTCGCTCTGTCACCCAGGCTGGAGTACAGTGTCGTGATCTTGGCTCACTGCAAGCTCTGCTTCCTGGGTTCAAGCGATTCTCCTTCCTCAGTCTCCTGAGTAGCTGAGACTACAGGCGTGTGCCACCACACCTGGCCAATTTTTGTATTTTTAGTAAAGACTGGGTTCTACTATGTTGATCTCGAACTCCTGACCTCAGGTGATACATTCGCCTCAGCCTCCTAAAGGGCTGGGATTAGAGGCATGAGCCACTGAGCTCTGCTTTGACCTGTTTCATTCTAATTATGTGCTGGGGTCTAAAAGTCCATTGTAAGGCAAACTCTCAAAGATAGTAACTCAGGAAAAGTGGCGGTGGAGAAGGCTGCAGACCCAGCATCTGCAGGGCACACTGGCCTGTTGCGGAGCAGAGTGAGTGAGGGGTGCATGTGCACAGCAGGACTTGAGGCCCAGAAACCCCTGGGCTGCCTAAACACCACTTAGCTTCTCCCCGGTGGCAACCAGGTATGTGGAAAGAGCTTCCATGCTAGAAAGACCTGGAGTTAAATTCCGGCCCTAGTTCCTAGCTTCTCCACAGAAAGTTACCTTCCTCGTCTGAGTCTCAGCTTTCTTATCTGTAAAACTGGTGGGAAATTAGTGCCCTTCAGGCTTGCTCTAGGATTAAACAAGACAGCCCATGGAAAGGCCTGCCAGGGAGGTGATCAATCAATGTCTCTTGTCTAGGTTTCTTTGTGTAAAAGAACTGTCGAGAAAAAAACACTCGAAGGCAATCAATACTTTCTCCCAAAGCATTAGAATATATTTAGAAAATTTGCACTTAAAATCTTACTTGTGGTGGCTAGGCACAATGGCTCACGCCTATAATCCAGCACTTTGGGAGGCCAATGCAAGGAAATCACTTGAGGTTAGGAGTTCAAGACCAGCCTGGCCAACATGGTGAAACTCTGTCTCTACTGAAAATACAAAAATTAGCCAGGTATGGTGATGCATGCCTGTAATCCCAGCTACTGAGGACAATGAGGCAGGAGAATCACTTGAATCTAAGAGGCAGAGGTTGCAGTGAGCCAAAGTTGCCCCACTGCACTCCTGCCTGGGGGAGAGTGAGACTTCATCTCAAATAATAATTATTTGTGGAATTATCTGTAGAAAACATAAGCCTAGAGATATTTCTAGGATCAGGGAGTGGGAGGATTTAAAATTTTTTTTAATTTTAATATTTTATAGAGATGAAGTCTCATTATGTTGCCCAGGCTGGTCTCAAACTCCTGGCCTCTGGTGATCCTTCCACTTTAGCCTCCCACAGTGATGGGATTGCAGGTGAGAGACACCATCCCTGATCCAAAGAGTAGGTGGATTTTGGAGGCAACTGGACTCGAGGATTTTTTTCCCAACAAATACTGGGAAAGATCTTCTGAGAGACGAATATTGGCCATCATCCCAATACACCTTCTGAGGGATATTCTAAGCACCATGTATCTGACTCTGTCTTACGATCCTTATATTATTGAGAGTTCTTTCTGTTATCTTACTTAAAGTTTCTTGTGTTTTGGCATAAGTCATGCTCTCTTCTCATTGCAAGGGAGCATTGCTATAAAATAGACATTTTTTTTTTTTTTGAGACGGAGTTTCGCTCTTGTTACCCAGGCTGGAGTGCAACGACGCGATCTCTGCTCACCGCAACCTCCGCCTCCTGGGTTTAGGCAATTCTCCTGCCTCAACCTCCTGAGTAGCTGGGATTACAGGCACACGCCACCATGCCCAGCTGAATTTTTGTATTTTTTTTAGTAGAGACGGGGTTTTACCATGTTGACCAGGATGGTCTCGATCTCTTGACCTCGTGATCCACCTGCCTCGGCCTCCCAAAGTGCTGGGATTACAGGCGTGAGCCACCGCGCCCGGCCTAAAATAGACATTTTAACTACATAGCAACATCCTGTTTCATCTGAGGCCCTGTCGCTGCTTCATTTGCCCGGTGTACAAGTTAGGGTGCTGTATTACGTGTGGAATGCTGGGCCTAGGCCAGACCTCTTCAATCACATGAAGAAGCAGGCTCAGAGAAGTCCATTACCTAGCTATGATTCTACAGCCAGTAAGGCATGAGAGCTGAGCTCGAACTCAAGTTTTTTGAGTCCTAAATCTCGAGTTTTTTTCCCTTCCCTTTCACTGAAGGGGTCCTTTCACTGGTCACATGTCTGGAAGTCACCCAGACGCTTTCGTATGTCTCTAAGAGCCAATGTCAGTTGTTTCATCCGTGAGTTAGAAGACCCAAGAATCCCAGCCTTCAGCCTCTTCAGAATTGCTCCTTTGGGCTGGGCGCGGTGGCTCATGCCTGTAATCCTATTTAGAAAAGTCAAGGCCGGAGGATTGCTTGAGGTCAGGAGTTTAAGACAAGCCTGGGCAGCAGAGGGAAACCCAATCTCTTCCAAAAAATAAAAATAAATAAATAAAGATTTCTCCCATGGAAAATGACAGCACAGCTTTTGTTTATGTGCTTTTTAGGGACCGTAGATACCGCTGGTGAAGCAGGAATGTCTTTTGCAAACTGGGGCCTTTGCATGAGAAGATTCAGTTATAGATAGATATAAAAATGTAATATATATGTATAAATGATATAATTACATATATTTTGTATAATAGTATGTTTGAATATATGTTATTTTTGGGGTAAGGTAAGGATCATAACTTCTACCAATTTTTTGTTTTGTTTTGTTTTGAGGTCAAGTCTTAGTCTGTTGCCCAGGTTGGAGTGCAGTGGTGCCATCTCAGCTCACTGCAACCTCTGCCTCCCCGGTTCAAGCGATTTTCCTACCTCAGCCTCCCGAGTAGCTGGGACTACAGGCGCTTGCCACCATGCCCAACTAATTTTTGTATTTTTAGTAGAGATGGGATTTCACCATGTTGGTCACGCTGGCCTTGAACTCCTGACCTCAGGTGATCCACCTGCCTTGGCTTCCCAAAGTGCTGGGATTACAGGTGTGAGCCACCGCGCCCGGCCAATTCCACTGATTTATTAAAAAGGGGTCTAGGACTTGAAAAAGTCTGAGTCATTCATTCATCCAGCATTTTTTTTTAATGTTTATCACATATAAGGCACTCTACTAAGGCCAAAGAATGTAATGGAAATACAGAAATAAAATACACATGTTCTTACCCTCATAGCACTGACATTCTAGTGAGATAATTAAATGGTAAACAATAAACAAATAACAAAATAACACAGAAAACGTCACCTTAGGACAGACTGCAAAAAAAGAAAAGAACAAGCTAAGAGCTACTGATCTGACTAGACTTTGTATTTCTCTCTGTGCTTTCCTTCTGAGAAAGTCAAATTCCTCTAAAAACACCCAATTTAACTTCTCAGTTGTAATTTAAAGGATAATTAAGTCTCTGAAATCCTCCAAACCTCCTTCACTTCAATTTTTTTTTTCTTTTCTTTTCTTTTCTTTTTCGAGATGGAGTCTCACTTTGTTGCCCAGGCTGGAGTGCAGTAGCACTGTGTTGGCTCACTGCAACCTCCATCTCTCGGGTTCAAGCAATTCTCCTGCCACCAGCCTCCGGAGTAGCTGGGATTACAGGCGCCCACAACCACACCCAGCTAATTTTCATATTTGTAGTAGAGACAAGGTTTCACCATATTGGCCAGACTGGTCTCAAACTCCTGACCTTAGGTGATCCGCCCGCCTTGGCCTCCCAAAGTGCTGGGATTACAGGTGTGAGCCACCACATCTGGCAATGGAGTTGTTTTATCCACCAGGCTATTGAATAGCTGAACGCTGCTTTCTCCCTGCCTCCTAGGCAGGCAGACAGCATAATTCCAGGTCTCTAGGAATGACAGGTCTGTCTGCCCAGCATGAGCAATGTGGTTTCCCGTTGCAGAATCTCCCTCCCTGTAGATTGCAGCTGCTGCTGTGCAAGACTGAATGATCTGAAAGGCTCAGAAAAAAAGACTACCAAGATGTACCAGCGAATTTTTAAGATTTGTGAACTGTCACGATATTGTTCAGAATTGTACCAGAGATGAAATCTTTGCTTATTGCTAAGTGAATTTTTCATATGTGCATATGTTTTATTCAAATGCAAATGATTTACACAACCCCCCCGCCCCATCTGCAATGCTTAACACCCTCACAGAATGATGCAGGTTAGGCAACAAGAATTCTGTTTTTTTGTTGCCCACCCCCCCCACACACCTATTTTTGTTTTTTGTTTGTGTTTGGAGATCTCACTCTGTCTCCAGGTTGGAATGCAGTGGTGCAATCTCGGCTCACTGCAGCCTCTACCTCCCGGGTTCTAGCGATTCTCATGCCTCAGCCTCCTAAGTAGCTGGGAATACAGGCACACATCACCACGCCCGGCTAATTTTTGTATTTTTAGTAGAGCTAGTGTTTAACCATGTTGGCAGGCTGGTCTTGAACTAGTGACCTTAAGTAGTCTGCTTGCCTCAGCCACCCAAAGTGCTGAGATTATAGGCGTGAGCCACTGCGCCTGGCCGCTGTACTTGGTTTTGAATTGGTTGTTCTAAGTTCATCTATGAGACTGGGCAGTAAAAAGAAGGGGTGACCTGTCAAAAGTCTTAGAACTCAAAGAAAACAAAAAGATAAAGAAAGTCCTACAACTCAATGGCAGAGCTGACATTCAAATCTAAGACACCTGATCTCTAGATCTCTGCTCTCCAGGCACGAGATTAAATCCAATAGCCTGACTCAGATCATACCTGTTATGTGCATACAATATTACCAGAATGCTGTGGGGCTCCAGCCTATTAGAATTTTCTGTTTTGGCTGGGGGTGGAGACTCGTGCCTCTCAGTATTTTCCAGGCTGAGGTGAGAGGATCTCTTAAGCCTAGGCGTTCCAGGCTACAGTGAACTACATGACAGTGCCACTGTACTCCAGCTAGGGTGTAGAATGAGACCCAGTCTCTGAAAAATAAAAAAATAAGTTAAAAACATGAATTTTCTGCCAGGTATTGTGGCTACTCAATACCTGTAATCCCAACATTTTGGGAGGCCACAGTGGGAGGATCGCTTGAGCCCAGGAGTCCAGGACCAGCCTGGACAGCATAGTAAGACCCTATCTCTCCCTGGAAAAAAAAAAAATAGCTGTGCATGGGAATATGTCCCTGCAGTCTCAGCTACTCAAGAGGCTGAGGAAGGAGGATCGCTCGAGTCTGGGAGTTCGAGGCTACAGTGAGCTGTGATCGTGCCTCTGCACTCTAGCTGGGGCCACACACTGAGATCCTGTCTCTTCGGTTTGTTGCTATTGTTGTTTCCTTTGGAGACAGAGTCTCTCTGACAACCCTGTCTCTTAAAAACCTGTTTTCCCCCTGTCCTTACTAATTTTAGGGAAAGTGTCACAGCATCGACAGAAAGGCCAGTTTTGATTTAGAAAAAATAGATCTTTTCAGTTAAATATGATGTAGAGTGCAGGCATTTGTATGCATTTCCTTGATTCCGTTTGCTGTGACCTTACCAGTTTTGAACTGGAATTGTGCCACTTCCTAGATAAAGGAAACTAAGTACATTGCTGCACTTTTAAGTTTTCAAAACAGTGTTTAAAAATTGTGTTGTTATTATTATTTTAAACTCAGTTTAAAAAGACTAAAATGTTCTTTTTAAAGAGGCCTCTAAATGTGTTGTTAATTTTGTAGAGGGGCTTAGGTTTTGCAACCAATAAAAAAAGCTGCTATCAAATATGATTTAAAAAATATGAAAATGTAGTTCTAACACTTTGGATCACAAACACAAATAAGTGACACTTAAAAAAAAAGACGATGGTGAAGGCCATGGACATCACTTGGAAGGTGAGTCATGTAAGGTGATGACTTACATGACTCACAGTGAGATAGCATCAGGCTCCCAGTGGTTGTCCGAAGGGGGTCTGAATTGGTTTGAAGTCAGCTGTTGACTTCTCTCTTTCATAACCTTTCTGCCTATAACCATCTTCACTTAGTTTCTCCCTCCCATTCCTTAATATATTGGATTCGATGAGAAGAGGACATTCCCTTCCTCGGAGAGGCTCTTTGGAGATATTCTTCAGGTCATGGCATTCTAGCATTTAGGCTGCACGGCAGCCCCCCAGTGAAGGCATGGGAAGGTGTCAGTAAAGAAAATGGGTCTGAACTGGAGAGACAGTCCAGCTTCCTTCCCAGGGAGCCATCAGATATTTATAGAGCCAGGCCCAGGGTACATGCCCATTGCCGAGGTTTTGTGGCCCAATCTGGTACACATTAGAGGCTTTATCTTTCCATCTCCTGAGTCCGTGCGGCATTGGTTCCTGGCCTAGGAGAGACTGAAAGCCAAACCAAACAGGGGACTTTTCTTCCTTCGGAGTTATTGTGAGCCAGCCAATTCCAGGATTTAAGCTCAGGCTTGTTAGGCTTTAGTTCTTCTGGGAAATGCCATCTGTTCGGAGAAGAGATTTCTGGGCAGCAAAAGTGCTGTTAATTCTATTCTTGTGTAGTTGCTGAATGGCAGGGCTCATATTACCCTTCACCCTGGGGCAGGGAAAGAGGGTTAGGATCAGGCATTTGCCGCCTTTAGATTCACCCTCTTTTCTGTACGTTCTGCCTGTTGCCCCCGCTCTCTGCCACACTCTCGCCCCCGCCGACACACACCAGACCTCTCCTTTAGTTTTCAAGTCACTACACAATTGAAATGTTTGTGTGAATTTTCACATATAGTCTAATCTTTGTGTCAAGTGTGCAATTAAGGCTCAGCATTTGTCTAGAGCAAACAAGGAAGTCCTGTTGGGAAATTCATTTGTTAGGATTTTATGTCTTAAATCGGACGGGTGCCTTTGGTTGTCACAGTTATTTTTATAATGATATGCATATAGGCTTGCCTTTCTGAACTCTTAGGGTGAATTACTGTTGGTTGGCACCCACCTCTAGAATAACTTTCTACTCTTTCAATCAGTAGGACAAATTCACATGCCAACTGAGGCTGATTCACCCATTGAGTGCCGGGAGTGATTTAAAGGGGACTACCTTCTCAGCATTTCTTTGGCCCAGAGTCACAGGAACACTCTTCTCAAGAATGTGGTCTGGGCAAGGGAACTTGCAAAATACTCACAGATTTCAGGAGTCCACAGTCTGGGGCAGAAAGAGAAGAGATACATCTGCTGGTTGGAAACTCTGGAGACAAATTCTTGTCTAATGCCCAGGAAAACTGGTTTTCTGACCAAAGACTTGGGGAGGCTGGAAACTCTTGGTATGTGGATGACAGAGGAGGAGGTTGGGGATAGAGAAGGGAGTAGAAATCCATGTGCTCAGGACAGAATCAGAGATGGCATCCTTGATTTCTCCCTCCTTCTTACCCCTCATAATCAGCCTATTAGCAGTCCCACCTTCAAATCATGTCCTTGATGTCATTCATTCACAGCTCCCTCCTTCACTGTCATCACCTAGCCAGCCTCTGCCGTCTCTCACCTGGTCAACCCCAGTACGGCCTCTGACTAGTTTCTGTGTGTCTTCTCTTGCTGTATTCTAATTCATTCCCCATGCAGAAGACAGGGAAATCTTTTGCAATTGCAAATTAGATCACGAGGCTTTCCTGCTGGCATCTCCTGGGCCACTGTCCTTTGTTCCTGGAATTCCATCAAGCCACCTACCATGGCCTACAGCCCCCAGTGTTTTGGTTTCCGCTCGCCTCTTCTAAGTCCTCTCATTCCTCTCTCCCACAGCCACGGTGCTCCAGTCACATGGCCTCCGCTCTATTCCTGGCCAAGCATTTTGGTTTTTTGTTTCTCTTCCTTCCCCCTCCCCCCTCCCCCTCCCCTCCCCCCTCCCCCTCCCCTCTCCCTTCCCCCTCCCCCCCGCTCCCTCCTCCTCCTCTTTTTTTGAAACAGGGACTCACTGTGTTGCCTAGGACTGAGTGCAGTGCGGTGTCCTGATCACAGCTCACTGCAGCCTCAATCTCCCAGGCTCAACAGATCCTGCCACCTCAGCCTCCTGAGTAGCTGGGACCACAGGTGTGTACCACCACACCTAGCTAATTCTTAAATTCTTTCTAGAGACAGGGTTTCACCATATTACCCAGGCTGGTCTTGAACCCCTTAGCTCAAGCACTCCACCTGCCTAGGCCTCCCAAAGTTCTGGGATTACAGGTGTGAGCTACCACACCCAGCCTAATATGGATCATTTTAAACTCTCCTCAATATGCATTAAATACTGTACTTGTGTTTGGGCATGGTGGCTCATACCTGTAATCCCAGCACTTTTGGATGCCAAGGCAGGAGGATTGCTTGAGCCCAGGAGTTCAAGACCAGCCTAGGCAACATGGCGAAACCCTGTCTCTGCCAAAAAAAAAAAAAAAAAAAAAAATTACCCGGGCATGGTGGCATGTGCCTGTAGTCTCACCTACTTGGGAGGCTGAGGTGGGAGGATGGTTTGGGACTGGGAGGTGGAGTGAATCGAGATGGCACCACTGCACTCCAGCCTGGGTGACAGAGTCAAACCTGGTCTAAAAAAAAAAAAAAAATGCTGTACTTGTTTACTGAATGTTTATTTGCCTCCACTTACCCTTTGAAATTTACCAAAGATTAGTGACTCTAGGATGATCAATCATTCTTTATTTCTTTGTTCCATCTGTTTTGAATCAGAAGAAAGACAAAGCAAAATGCAATCTCACTAACAGCAATATCAAGAAAAGAAGTCCCTGAGCCATCCAGCCCTTAGCAGAAAGCCAAGGAAGGTAAGCTGGGATTGGGAACAAGTGGGTGTTGTTCCCAGTCCCAGTTTACCTTCCTTGGCGGCCGCAGGAGGGATAAACAGCTTCAGTAGCCAAAGGTTTTCCCTTAGTCTTAGGAGGTGACATAAGCAACTTTCCCAGAACTGTGTTGACACAAGCTGTAAATTAAGGGAACAAGGCAGAAGGTCACCAGAGCCTGGTCTCGCCCAGTCCTGCTGGAACTCTGGCATCATGTGGGCCAAGAAGCTGGAGGGGAAGTCTTCTTATCCGCCAGTCCACCTAAAAACATACCTTTCTGCTTGTGTGGTGGGGCGAAATTGCAGAACTTGTACTCAAAGCGTGGTGGTAGAAGGGAAATCACTGTGGGGACATGAAACATCTCAATTTTTTTTTTTTTTTTTCTATTTTTCTTTTTAAGGGCTTCTGGAGACAGAAGGGGATTAAAACTTCAGATTAAGGAAAAGTAAAAACTCAGTTAACTTATTAGCTGGGCTCACCTAATTAACCTTGGTAGCCTGGGGCATAATTCAACCCAACAAAATTTACTGATCTGCAAAGCCTTTAATAAGCTCTGAAGCCAGAGGCCCTGCCCCCATTGCTGTGGGATGGGACAGTGGGTGGGGGGAGAAGGAGCAAGGCTTGGGGCTGACTAGTTCTGGGGACAAAAGAGCCCTAGGCAGGAGGAGCTGGTCGTGACTTTGCTCCCTTCGCTGATAGGAGTCTTCCATTCTAACCTACTTTCAGCACCACTCATTCATTCATTCAGCCATTCATTTATTCCACAAATATTAAGCTCCTGCTATGCCTTCGGCCTTTGCTAGGGGTGTAAATGGACTACAGTGTTAAGCAAGACATGTAAGATCCCCAACTTCTTGAAATTTACATTCTAGCAATTAAAAGATAAACAAGAGCCCAGCATGGTAGTGGGCGTCTGTAGTCACAGCTACTTGGGAGACTGAGGTGGGAGGATCACTTGAGCCCAGGAGTTCAAGACCAGCCTAGGCAACACAGGGAGACCAAGTCTCTACAAAAAATAAATACAAAATACAAAATAAACGAAGCACATGTAAACTGAGAAGTCCTGTGGAACAATGAAAATGGGTACCCACTGAGTAAAGATCTCTTTCAGGAAGCGACATGAATCCAGTATCTGGAAGGAAGTCATTGCTTCTTTCATGCTTTGGGGATTTTATGAGTACATTTCTCCATTCACACATCTAGTGGTTGAATAAAGATGAAATAATTAAAAAAAAATTTAGTGAGCACCTTTTATGGCCAAACCCTCTGCTTGCTGGGCACTGCCAAAAAAGGATAAATAAGTCAGGGAACCTGCTCTAGGAAAAGTTATAACTGAGCCTGACCAGTGAAGAAAACACTTATGGAGAATAATGTGGCGCGGCTGAGCCAGATGGGCTCTAAGGTCATTCCTTTGTCTAAAGGGTCTATTGCCGAATACGTGTTAGCCAGTCCTTCCTACTGCATGTCTAGTACTTAGGGATGCCTAACCTCTCCAAGGCTCTCTTAGCCTAACTGTAGATAAAAGGCTTGCATATGTGGCATATTAAGACTGTGGAAACCAGCACGTGCGGTAAACGATTCCTGTGTTCTCAATTTGGCACCTATCTACCCCAGAGACCACTGAGGCTTTTAAGATCAATGAGGCGTAGCTCTTCTCCCTTAGACATTTTTTTGGATTTCATCTAGTTTATGGCAAAATATATGTATATTGCCTTTTTTTTTTCCTCAGGAACCTCTGAGAAGGTCTGGATTTAAGGTTCAGATACCATCTGTTACGTGCTTTGAAGGTGCCACTCCATCTGTGGGATTCAATTTACGTAAACTGAAGACTATTCTTTTGAGTTGAAGTGAGGAGAGGCATCAATCACTAGAAAATTATTTGATCTCCTGGAAGCAAAACGCCCACCATGAGGTTGTTCTTGCCATGGACTTCTAGAGGAGCTGACTGCCCTTTGGGAAGCTACAAATAAGCATGAAAATCTGCCAGCAGGGAAGAGAGGCTTTTTCAGAGTGATCAGGTACGTGAATCTTCCTCTTGCTCTTTTCTCTTTTCCGTAGCAATGTGCAATCCCAACCACCCCAATCCCCTGACATTTTGCTGAAATCACTTCCACTAGATTCCCAATGACCTCCAAATCCACTTGTAATTATGAAACATCCACATCTCTTGAAATTCTGTTTTCCTTTCCCTTTTGGGGACACCTCTCTTCCTTGATTCTTGTCCTGTATTTCTGGCTGATTATCTTTTAATGTTCACTTCCTTTGGCTGCCCTTTAAAATGGGTGTTCCTGGCCAGGTGAAGTAGCTCAGGCTTGTAATCCTAGCACTTTGGGAGGCTGAGGCAGGCAGATCACGACGTCAGGAAATGGAGACCATCCTGGCTAACAGAGTGAAACCCCATCTCTACTAAAAACACAAAAAATTAGTGGGGCGTGGTGGCACATGCTTGTAGTCCCAGCTACTCAGGAGGCTGAGGCAGGAGAATCATTTGAACCCAGGAGGCGGAGGTTGCAGTGGGCTGAGATCTGGGCGACAGAGTGAAACACCGTCTCAAAAAAAAAAAGGGTGTTCCTAGAAGGCCTTGGTTTTCTCCTTTACTCACTCTGTTTACAATTTGGGGGCATTGATAACCAAAATCATGACTTCAGTTTCCGTGTAGACACGGATTTCAGAACAGTGGGATCAGATCTCCGAAGTGTGTATCAGGTCTCTATCTCTCATCTGATTTTCAGACGCCCGTCTTAAACTGCCTGATAGACTTTCACTGGGTGAATTTAATTCCTAAACCACTTCTCCTGTTGCTCCAGTCTTAGAACCTGGTACTACCAAAAACCTAGGGGCTACTTAGACTTCTGCTCTCTGTCGTATCATTTATTCAATGGAAATGTGGTGATGATCTTTTACTATATTCTAGGCACTGAGCCATGTACTGCAGGTACAGCCTCTATCCCAAAGAGACTCATAATCCATCAGACAGGTAAACAGTCAGAGAAACACAACGTCTGATGTAGTCAAAGAGGTAAATACATGAATAGAAGCATGTACTAGATGCAAGACATAGAGAAAGCACAGCAGAAGGACCGACTAGGAGATGGAATAGGAAGAAAGGCTTCCTTGAGGAGCTGAACCCTAGGATGGGCTGTGAAACCCAGATGGGACCAGGCGCAGTGGTGCATGCCTAGAGTGTCAGCTCTTTGGGAGGTTGAGGTAGGAGGATTGCTTGAGCCCAAGAGTTAGAGGATGTAATGGGCAATGATGGTGCCTGTGAATGGCCATTGCACTCCAGTGTGGGAAACATAGCAAGACACCATTACACCATCTCATAAATAAATAAATAAATAAAATAAAAAGGGAATGGAATTCCCATGACAAGCAGGGGAGGTGTGGTATTTTAGGCATTTCAGGCTTCATGTAAAAATTATGGGTGCATGTAACCAAATAACGTTTAACTAAAAAATATTAGCAGTTTGATATTGATAGAGTATAAAGTTTAAGGGAAGGGGAGATTTCACAGGAGATGAGTCCAAAGTAATAGGTAGGGGCCGAATCATAAGGGGTCTGTAAAATAATAAGAGCAATAATAGCTACAATTGGCTGGGCTCAGTGGCTCACATCTGTAGTCCTAGCATCTTGGGAGGCTGAGGCAGGCAGATCACTTGAGGCCAGGAATTTGAGACCAGCCTGACCAACATGGTAAAACCCCATCTCTACTAAAAATGTGAAAACTAGCCAGGCATGATATTGCATGACGGTAGTCCCAGCTATCTGAGAGGCTGAGACAGGAGAATCCCTTGAACTCGGGAGGTGGAGGCTGCAGTGAGCTGAGATCGCACCACTGCATTCCAGCCTGGGCGACAGAGCGAGACTCCATCTCAAAAAACAAACAAACAAACAAAACGCTAAATGTAACAGGCCCATAGAGGAAAAAGTATCTAGCGCAGGGTGAAGAAGAAGCCTGGACGCCATGAGTTGTGGGGGAGAGGAGATGGCCTCTGCTGTGTGCAAGGTCAGAAGCTAGGGTGAGGCTACCCTGGCCACCGATGATGGTGGCAGCT